GTGTGTGTGTGTGTGTGTACTCTGTGTGTGTGTGTGTGTGTGTGTGTGTGTGTGTGTGGACAGGTGAACTAACTACCTGAGTCAACAGCTAACTCATGAATACATTCAGAGTCTGGGAACAGAGAGCGGCCGCTGTGACGAATGCCAGCCTTGGACACACACACACAAAGGTGAAGCCAAACGGACATGAATACACACCTAATCTCTGACACACACTTACACGTGAAAAGAGATGCACACAAAAACTGGATAATGTAACACACACACACGCAAGCAGCAGCCTTGGGCTGAAACCTCCTGACAGTTGACGTTCATAATGAGGGGTTTAAATGTATTTCTATTCATAAGCTGTTTCTATTGTGCAGCCAGAGAGGAGCTGAGGGCAGTGAAACACATTCAGGGCCTGTTAAGTAATAAATCACATGTAATCAGATTACTTTTATCAAAGAGAAAGAATGAGATTTAAAGAAATCATCACAACTTGGGTCCTAATTTTTTTAAATAGTTTTGTCCTTCATTTCTCTCAGTATGAAAATTGTACAGCTCACATAGGTTTAACCGTAATTAACCATGTAAAGGCTAAATAACAAACACAAACCTAGTGTGTTTAAATCAAAGAATATGTTTATTTATCACTCACATAAGAACGTAGCACCAACAGAGAGGTAAGTGTTTAATTAATGAACGATTCTCTGTGGATATCAGCAGGAGGACGCAAGATCAAACAGCCGTCCTTCACTTCCCTGTCGGTTCTCATCGGTCTGTGGATTACTACAACGGGGGGAAATGGACTCCAAAGTTCTGTCTACATTCATGAAACCGAACTAATTGTGTTTGTCCACCAAATTAGCTCTGGTTCTTGAACCGGATCCATTCAAGAACCTAGGAACCTTGGTACCATTGTAATCAAAGATACGTCATTAACAGAGTCATCACAATGCATGACAACCTGTAGGATATGACTCGCCCACTAGAAACAAACTTTTCTGGTTCTGGAACCCATTTATTTCTGGTTGAAATGCTCCGAACGGTTCAAAAGTAGGTGCATGAACTGGAGCTGGTGGAAAATACAGTACTATCCAAGGTGTTGATACGTTTGTATTTATCAAAGATACAGACAGTATGCAGAAGATTACAGACTAGATCTTTGACAGATTTTAATTTTATGACAATACAAATCGAAATTACATAAAAACAAATTGAAATGAAACAATACAATAAGATATAATATACAGATCTGGATACAGATCCATAAACTATAGCAAACTGAATCATACTGCATACAGGTCCTTTTTATTTCCTATAGACAAATAAAGCTCAAACAGAGGCTGTAAAAAATGAAACCAAGGGGTCTAAGCCTTGTGGCGCCGGGCCTGCACACTGCACAGGAACGCCGTGTGCTCACAGCTACAGTAAGTACAGGAGGTCGAAGTTAAAGCAGGAAGTGGGTCTGTAAAGGACGGAGAGTTTAGGTGATAAGTTCACTTTTGTCTTCTCTTCCAAATACCTCCATTCACAGTAAAAACAGACTGAAGGTTTAAATCTGTGTGTGTGTGTGTCCGGTACAAAGCATGTATGGTAGGCAGGCTGGCATGTCCGTCATCTCTCCTTTCACTGACACTGAAACCACATCCTGCACCTACTTATCATTCCTCTGTGTGTGTGTTTTCTATTAATACTTCATGCATTATTGAGGAGGATGAGAGTGAGGGACACGCTCTCAATGTGGCCGTACATTTCGTGAATCAAAGTTCACTCTGTGCTGCAGGTCCTCTTTCTTTAAACGCTCTCATTAAACACAGAAACCCGCAGTGTGAGTCTGTCGGGTCCTTCAGCTCGCGGCTGCCATAGTGACAGCAGACGTTTCACTCCTTCATCGTTGAAGTGAAGCGCGTTGTTCGTCTTCACTAGGCAGGAGGAATGGCATGTTCACTGCTAACGAGGACGCGCACGCCATACTTTGTCTCTGCGGGTCGGACGCTTGGTATGTTTTGTGCTAACAAATGCAGAAATAAGTCATATTTAAACTTTAGGAGACACTGAGAGGAAGAATGAGAGGCAAACCAAATGAGAGAGACGACAACAGAGATTGATAGATGCAGATATGAAGCGGTTTCAGACGCCCAGATTATAGTTGACTGTGTCAAATCCGGTCTCACTCCCAAATCGTCAATGGCCCTCCACTTTAAAATATCCAACTGTAGGAACCTAGCTTGAGTCATTTATGGACGCCAACGTCAGGTGACATAGTACGAAGAGTGAGAAGAGTTTTGTGTGTAAACTGAAGCAAACTGCGACCCCGTCACAACGTTATGCTGCATTCACATGGATTCCTCACAGCTCAGGGGGAAACAAACAAACCATATGTTGCTATCGTGATCTTGTATTGTTTACAAAGAACTGAATAAAATGTATTCAATAAAATGATTGTGTGTAATTTATTAGAGTGCAGATTGATGTCTCCTTGTGTGAGGGGAGCTACGTAGCATCTGGGTTTAAATTACGTTGTGCAGAACGAACACAAGCTTTATTTAGAGTGCAACCGGACGTTGAATATTTATTGTCGGTAACTAGAAGCGGACGGCGCCAAGCGTCAGTATTTGAGGAGTTGGGGGTGAAGACGTGTTGCACTTTTAGTTTGTTGACTAGTAAACATTACATTTAACTATACTGTTAGTGTCGGATACAAATACAGATATTTAATATCTATTTCATATATGATATTTTCTATATCATATATATTTATGTCGACTCACAGCCAACCTCCTATCTCTATTTAAGTATATTTTCATTATTCGAGTTGGAGAAGAAGAAACCTTAATGTAAATGAGGCGTTGGTGGCGAATGTTTTGCTGGTGTTTAAGTCATTTTTATTGATTTTTTCACTCCTGCTGGGCGTCGTCGATTTGTCATTATTGTGTTTGTACTCCACAACATCTAATCACGGTCTCTTGTCAGTGAAAATCTGAACATAAATAAAAGTGATTGGGATAATTTTATATGTACATTACAACCCAGTTGGGCTCTAATGCAATTAAAAGCAGCAGTACTAAAAAGAATGTGTCCTTCTGGCAAATTTTGGACTGATCTTTGTTAATAAGTCTTTCTTATTAACTCTTAAACTGAGCCTAATGGCATTTCTTTGGCTTCTCTCGATGGCACGGTGCTTGTTTACAGACGAACCGTGTGTCTGTGGGTTTTTTGATGTCGACCATTTCATAGCAGACATGAGAAATCAAAGCAGAGCTGCAGACAACACCTGTACATCTGTTAGCCAGGGGTCAGAGGTCGCCAGCTAGAGACTGCGGAGGCGTGAGGTTGCGGGGGCGTGGGGAGGGGTGGTCGCAGTCAGTTTTATAAGCAGCCATTCCAGGGCAGCAGACACACACACACACACACAGACACACATAGCAGCTGTAGACAGACTACACCTGGCAGAGACACAGACAGGCTGCTGGTAAACCTTTAAGGTTTTGGGGGCACACACACACATAAAGACTTCTGGGGGTTTATTACGTAGGAGCCTGGTCTCACCCTGATGTGAACCCGTTATGGTCCTCTGAATCTGAACTGGTGGTTCAGGGAACTGGGATATCTGTGAGATGTCTGTGCTGTAGTGCAGTGGTTCCCAGCCCCTTCCCTTTATTTAGCATTATTTATATTTAGTAAACAGACTAAGTCACATATTTTATGGATATTTCATATTTTGAACTCAGTAACTGCAAGAAGTTTGTGTAAACGGACACTGATCTGCTCTGAACCCTTATACCCTCATACCCCCACCCACTCTCTGTGTTACACTCATGCACATCTCTTGGATTATATCTTGGACGTTGCCAATGCCCTTTATGTGCCATACTGTGAACGAAAGGTGGTCTTAACTATAGCACTGCACTATTTGTGTAAATTTAAGTAAACAAATTTTATGAAACTATAAAGTACTGCATAGAA